TAGAGTTAAACACCACCTTAATGTTGCGCTGGGTCATCGATCGCATTAAAAATAGGATTTATAGTGTTGATGAGCTGCGAATTTTCCTTTTGGAAAAATTGGAGAAACATCGTCTTAACCCCGAGATAAAGAATGCTCATATTCCGGCTGATTAGGATGAACGAGATTTCGCCAATAGACTACTGAGGCAGAGAGAAAGTCAGATGCTTGAATTGGACTTGGCTCCTTTATTCGAAGAGCACAAAGCTAAGATCCGACGAGCCTTTATTGATATGGTCCTTGAAGTTGAGAAGGTGAAGAAACCTGAATTGGCAAACATATGTGTTGAGACGATCGCGAAGGCTTTTGTCGTCGAAACACTTGAAGGTCTTTCCGACGAGGATCTATTAGATGCTATCACTGGCTTCGCTCTGCAAAAAGTAGCAGAAGATGACGCCAAAGCCAAAGGTTGGTTGGTAGAGATGGTTCCTTCCGATGAAGATAGAGTCGTTCACGAGGATGATGATGTAGTCATCATAAAGGAGAGCGACGTCCTTCAAGCAATGGAGAAGAAAGAAGATGAAGTATTTCAGCGCTTGGGTCAAAGATTGATAGACCACTTGGATGCGGCGGACAGAAGCAAAGTCGATACTTGAAATCCTCCATCATCAGTGGCTGAGGAGGCGTCGACGTCGGGAACAAACAAGGAAAACCCAGAGGAAACTTCATAATTGTTGTCGTATTTCTTTTATTTTTCTGCTTTGCTTTTCTTTGAAGGATGATTATTGAATGTAATGTTAGTATTCTATTATGAATGGAATTTATTGTTTTTAATTTTAATTTTATCATTTTGAAGCATCTTATTATGTTGTAAGTATATTGCCATAATAAGATAAAAAGGAATTTTTGAAGTCAAGATATGTCAGAATAATTGTGAAAGAGTGTTCAGCAGATAATATGTTTTGATTATACCGACGTGATACTTGACATTTATATTTTACTTTCTCGCGAATTTATTCGAGTTCTCGATATCGATATAATTTATAGAATATCCGATATCTATAAACTTTTAGTGTGAATAAACATGAATAGACTTGATTTTATCGTAGAAATTTCTGAATCATTTAGAGGACTCAGAAACACTGACTGTTAGCTCATGAAATCAACGTGGGGATTTGAAATTGTAGAGCATAAGCCTCCCCAAGCCATCTCCAGGGTTGGAAGTATCCGACTTTGTCGCGTTTGGCCAGGCCATACCAACTTCAGGGTACAGACACGTTTAGCCTTAGCAATGGGGATCAATTTATTGAGATCCCAGTGATCGAACAAATTATAGTGGTTCATCACACAATCTTTATTGACAGCAAAAAAGTGTTTTTGTACATAAGTCGGCAAATCTTTATAAATCGGATTCAAAGGATCAATCCTTGGTTTACTGGAAATATTTCTTCAGATACGTTGCATGCCAAGGATACTGAAGAGGAACACCATCCAAAGCTTCAAGTCGGTAAGTGCCATTAGAGACTAGACGGTTTACTTTGAAGGGTCCTTCCCACTTTGGTTGCAAAGGACCGACGTTGGCCCTGATGACTCTTTTCAAAACGAGGTCTCCTACGACAAATGAGCGCGGCTTGAGTTTCGAGTTAATGTACTTTTCACTACGTCGTTTGTAGGCAGCATTTCGAATTTCAGCCTCAGTCCGTAACTCATCGACCAAGTCAAGATTAGTTCTTTAGCCGCCTGGGTTCGCTTATTCCGAGAAATGTGTAATCCGATATGTAAGGGAAGTAAGTTCAACAGGTATCACAACTTCAGTTCCATAAGTTAATGAGAACGGAGTTTCTCTAGTCGAGTTCCGTGATGTTGTCCGGTAGGCCCAAAGGACATGAGATAGCTCATCAGGCCAATATCCTTTTGCAGATTCGAGTCGGGTTTTCAAGCCATTCTTGATAATCTTGTTTACAGCTTCTATTTGTCCATTGGCTTGTGGATGGTATGACGATGAAAAGAAATGCTTGATACCATAATCTTCACAAAATCCTTCAAATATTTTCCCTTTGAACTGTCGGCCGTTATCAGTTATGATGGAATTTGGTATACCAAACCGACAAACTATGGACTTTCAAAGAAAATCGATCATCTTTTGCTCAGTAATGGCGGTAAGAGGTTCAGCTTCTACCCATTTGGTGAAGTAGTCAGCAGCTAATATTGCAAAACGAACACCTCCTTTCGCTGTCGGAAGAGGACCAATAAGATCAATCCCCCATTTCGTGAAGGGCCACAGACTATATATCGACTTGAGGAGCTCAGGATGTTGATTAACGTTAGGGGCAAATATCTGACATTTATGGCATTTTCGTACCAATCGGTTGCATCTTTCTTGATGTTCGGCCAGTAGTAACCTTGTCGGAGAATTTTGTTAGATAAGGTTTGTGCTCCTTGGTGGGTACCACAGATACTTTCATGGACTTCTTCAAGAACACGTCGGGCATCGTTTTCTACAAGCATTTAAGTAACGAAATGGAATATCCACGCTTGTATAATGTTCCATGGTCGATTGTAAAATGAGCAGCACGAACACGGAGGGCACGAGCTTCTTTTGGGTCTTCAGGTACGGCCCCAGTACAAAGATAGTTGATGATGGGATCCATCCAGGTCGAATTTGTAGTGATTGCAACATTGATCATGATGACGTCGGTAATGGTCGTCGAAGGTGTCGTCTGTTGAGTAATTTGTACAAATTCGACGTTATTCAAGTCGGTGGAAGAAGATAAACATGATAGAGCATCCGCTTGAATGTTGGACGTTCGAGGTATATTCTCTATCGTCATCTTGAATTTCGACAACCTTTTCTTGACAAGATCAAAATGAGGGAGCAATTGAGGCTCCTTGACCTCGTAAGTGCCATTGATGTGGCTGACAAGTAATTGAGAGTTAGAAAATATACGAAGTGAGAAAATAATCATAGATTCAGCAAAATGCAAGCCTGATAAGAGGGCTTCGTATTCAGCTTCATTGTTTGTGGCCGGGAAAGTGAATGCTACGGAGTAACAAAAAAATTGTTGGTCAGGGCTGACTAAAACGAATCCTCCCCCTGCTCGTAAGGCGGTAGAGGACTCGTCGATGTAAAGAGTCCAAGTTGGGTCTTCAACTGATGCGGTTATGGATGGGGTGAATTCAGCTATGAAGTCGGACAACACTTGAGCTTTGATGGCATTCCTTGGTCGATATTGGATGTCGAACTGTCCGAGCTCAATAGCCCATTTGATCATTCTACCCGACGTGTCGGGTCAGTGAAGGAGTTGCCGGATGGGGTATGAAGTGAACACAGAGGTGGAATGTTCCAAAAAATAGGGTCGGAGCTTACGTGCAGCAACGATCAGAGCAAAGGCTAATTTCTCCACATATGGATATCGCACTTCAGCGTCATGTAGGACCTTGCTAACATAATATATCGGAAATTGTTGGAGTCTGTCTTGTCGTATGAGGGAAGCGCTGACGGCAACAGTACTAACTCCCAAATATAAATATAAGGGTTCATCGGGAAGAGGTTTCTACAACGTCGGAAGTTGTGAAAGGACTTCTTTAATATTGTCAAAGGCATTTTGGCACTCAGCAGTCCATTCAAATGGTTTTTTCTTTCTAATAGCATCAAAAAAAGGGCTTGCAATGGTCCGTCTATTTGAGATGAAATGATTTAGAGCAGCTAACCGGCCAGTTAATGCTTCGATGCCTTTGACAGACGTCGGAGGAGCCAAATCAAGTATGGCTTGAATCTTTGCGGGGTTGGCTTTGATCCCTCTTTAGCTCACCATGTATCCTAAAAATTTTCCTGAGCCGACCCCAAAGGTGCACTTTTTAGGATTAAGTACCATTGAATATTCTCGAAGGATGTTGAAAACGTCGGAGAGATGAGCGATATGATCATTTGTTTGTTCTGACTTCACCATCATGTCGTCTATATATACTTCCATCGTGCATCCGATCAGTTGGGCAAGCATCTTATTGACGAGCCTTTGATATGTGGCCCCAGCGTTCTTCAATCCAAAAGTCATCATGACATAGAAATAAAGACCTCGAGCCGAATAAAATGAAGTATGTTCAGCATCATCGGGGTGCATGGGAATTTGATTATAACTGGCATAGGCATCCAAAAAACTCATAAGCTGATGTCCCGATGTGGCGTGTACCATATAATCGATGTGTGGGACTGGATAAATATCTTTCGGGAATGTTTGATTCAGATCCGAGAAGTCAATGCATAGGCGCCAAAGGCCGTTACTTTTCTTGACTAAAACAGGGTTTGAAATCCATGTCGGATACTTAGCTTCTTTAACGAATTTGTTGTCAATGAGTTTGTTCACCTCCTCTTCTAATGCTTTCTGACGATCAGGTCCAAACTTCTGTCATTTTTGTATGACAGGCTTAACGGTTTTGTCCAGATTCAGTTGATGACAGGCTTTCTGAGGGTCTATTCCTTTCATGTCCTCATGCTTCCACGCAAATACATCGGCGTTCGATCGAAGGAATTGAATTAGCTGAGAGTGTGTCGGTTCTTGAAGGTTGGTTCCAATCCGCAGGGGTTTTTCTTGAGCCAATTCATTCACGTAGATAATTTCAACATCTTCAACAGGTTCTGCCCGAACATGGTGACTCTTCTCTTTAAATTGCAACCTTGGGTCTATATCTTCATATGACTTGACATCCTTTTTTCAAAGCTGTTGTTTTTGATCTTGAACTTCATCCGACGTGTTAGATAATTCCGACGTCATAGGGACATCGGTACCAAGTATAGGCGGGACGTCGGTACCCGAAGTGGATTGATCCGTCGTGTTGGCATTGGCAAAAACGGAGTTTATCAAATCGGTTTGAGGAGAATCAACAGTTCCTTGTGTCTCATATGCATGAACATTACGTGAGGTCGGAATTAATGCCAAATTTTGCGCCTCTTGTTGATCTCCGTAATGAGTACCTTCTCCTTCGAGGGTGGGAAATTTCAAAGCATAATGAAAGATCGACACGGCAGCGCGGAGCTTATAAAGAGCAGTGCGTCCTACAACAGCATTGTACTCATTTTGAATATCCATAACTTTGAAAGTTTCCAGAATGATTTTGGATTTTGGTCCGAAGCCTCCAAATCGAATAGGGAGTACGATTTCACCGAGGGGACACGAAATGCTTCCATTGAAGCCTTGAATCTGATCATTGCAAGGCCTGATATCAGCGAGATCCAAACCTAATTTCTTAAAGGTACGAAACATTAAAATACTTGAATAAGCTCCGGTGTCAACCATAATTCGGTGGACAGGAATCCCTCCAATTGGAGCAGTGATAATAAGAGCATCAGAGTGTGGGTGAGCGAACAAATTGGCATCTTTGATGTTGAAAGTGATGGGACAATTCCGTTTATTAATGGTATCTCGAAGATCAACATTCATAATTTGCTTCCCGGCGTTTTGTGCTTCTCGAGCATAGGCTTTTGCTTTTCGCCAAGATGTATCCAGCTGTTTAGTGTTAGAATTTATTCGAGGTATGTAATGAGAGGAATTCGGTGCATCATGCGTTCTGGGTTTCTTGCATTCATCGGTCGAAGTACCGTCAAGATTAGAAAACGTAAAAACCTCTTTGTCGGTTGCGCGGATTCTTTTTGGATTGACACCTCGATCATCATCATCCTCTTCATCCGAGACGTCTACGGGCCTTTCTTTACGGCGATTATCAAAATTCCTAAATTTTTTAAGTTGAGGCTGCTCGATTAGATGCAGGAGAGCCGATAAGAGACCAAGACACTCGTCGGTATTATGTCTCGGGGACTTATGATACGCACAATAATGAGTTTTGTCAAGTTTATCTTCAGGAGTTCTTACAGGTTTTGGATCAGGGATGATTCCTTTTCCTTTCAGTTCTTCAAAGATTGTGGCTGCCCCGGCTGAATAAATGGTTTGGTAACCTGTTCTTACATTGTCAGCGTACTGATCTCGTGCGGCTTTAGATTCTGGAGTATCTTCATAACCTTTTGAATAACCCCGATATTGATTCTTTCCAAAGTTCTTCTTATTCTTTTTCTTCGTCTCCAATTCGGACTTGTCTTCCCTCACCGAGAAGTCTAGATTAGGAAACGACATCGACTCTTCGGTAATAATAAATTGTTGAGCATGTACGAGAAAATCTTGAAAGGTGGCTGGTTTGTTTTGACAAAGGGTCCAACGAAACATAGAATTGGTCTTCAATCCAGCAATTGCGGTTACCAGCAGGGTCTCGGGATGACATGGCTCCATATTTTGAATTCGGTCGTTGAACCGAGATATATAATCTTTGACTGTTTCGTTGTCCTTCTGTACGATGTCGGTAATTGATTCTTTCGGGATGAGACAAACTTGAGCTCCGATAAAATGTGATCGGAAGGCTGCACGTAACTGTTGCCATTTCCATATTGAGTAAGGTGGGAGAGTGTAGTACCATTTTTGCGCACGTGGCCCCAATGTAAGGGAAAACATCCGACACCTCAAGGCATCAGACGTGCCATGCAAATCCATCCAAGACGTATAATGACCCAAATGGGCATCAGGATCTGAAGTTCCATCATACATGCCAATTTGTGGAATTTTTATTTTAGTGGGGAGCGCCTCTGCAGTAAGTTCGGGAGCCAAGGTCGAATCAGCTTCAACAATAACATTACCCGACGTCGAGACATGTCAGGGGGAATCTTCTTGTGATTTCTGTCGAGTTTCTATTTCAGCCAGCCTTTTACAGAGAATCTCTATTTCCTCCGAACTATGTCTTGACTCACGATTTCGTTCAATTTGATGACGTAAATCTTCACGATCTCGAGGTAATGGTGAAGGAGGTCTAGGTCGTGAAGGAACTCTGTGATGATGAACAGAATGACTTTCAACGGTCATTTCCTGAACAGGAGGCCCATGCGTGGCCAGGTTATTCGGTAATGGATTTATATTTATACGGGTCATCTTATCTCGGTGTTGAGATATATGACGTGGTTGAAAAATGGTATGTGACGCAGCTATATGTGTCTCTTGGTTATGATGAGCGGGATTCGGTTGTCCGTTGGATTCGTGGGAAAAGGTGTAGGTAATGGTATAGTGCTCGAAGCTCTAGGCATAGCTCGAGCTATAAGAGATGTTAACACCTGAATGAACTCCGGATCCTGAAGAAAGTTCGTGATATGGTTTACCGGAGGTGGTGGCGCTGAACGTCTTGGGGAACGATTCGTAGCATGTCTTTGGCTAGCATGGGAGGTACGATCTCGACCAGATTGAGACATGGAAAACTCGAGCAGATGATGGTTATAACAGCGAAGATTAACCTCAAAGACTTATGAGGCCCTTCCTCTAGCGCCAAATTGTTGTTATATGTGAATGAACAAAGATTATCCAAAGATATTTGTATCGATTATTAATAGAAATTATAGTTATGAAAAGATGGTCAAAACATGGTCTATTGAATGTGATAGTTTTTTCTTGTATCATCTATTTCGAAGCTTCTTTCAGCCGTTTTATAGTACAATCCAAGATTATCGAGACTACAATGATTCACAAGGAAAAGTCAATGGTGGATGATTGCCATTCATTCTTATAATACGCCACTTGGCAAAGCATAATGATGAGTTTGCTGAGTTGGCACTGCCTTATAATGTTGGTTAGTCGTGTCACAGATATCGGTTCACTAGGCCATGACCGATATGAGATGTCGGTCATTCAGTGAGGATGTCGGTTCTTGGCTCATTCGTTGTCCGACTCGTGGTTACTTAAAATTCATGAGTGTATCAACTCTTGAAATGGCATAATCTTCTAATTGTTAAGCTCCCGACACCAATAATCACTCTTTATTCGGTTTTAGCGAGAA